GTTCTGCTGTGCATGGGGTCGCTATGAGTTGGTTCCGACTAGATGGCACCTGAGAACAAAATGGGTCAAAAGTGACTTGACTGCACTTAACAATGACTAGTGATTGTGAGCATTTCTTCATGTCTGTTTGCCACTTGAATTTCTTCTTTGGTACAGTGTTCAAGTCCTCTGCCCATTTTTTAACTGGATTACTTGTCTTCTTACCGAGGGGCTGAGTGTTTTATTAATCATAGATAGTGTAGTTCCTTGTCTGATTTGTCACTGTCAAAATCTTTTCCCATTCTGTAGATTCTATTTTTACTCTTTTGGTGAAATCTTTTGATGCACATTGTTGTTGTTAAGTGCCATCGAGATAGGTTCCAACTCATAGAGATCCTGTATAGGGTTTCCAAGGAGCTTCTGATGAGTTTGAACTGCTGACCTTGTAATTCAAACCAATCTTGTGGTCCAGTGCTTACTCTACAGTGCCACACTAGGACTCTTTAGATGCACACCAATGTTGATTTTTAGGAGGTCCCAGTCATCTATTTTGCCTTCTGCTGTTTATGTGTTTTCAGTTAGGTTTGATAGCGTATTTATGCCATGAATCAGTTCCTATATTTTTAAGGAACATAATTTGTACAATTTGTAAGTTACAGCATTATAATAAATAAATATTACATATATACCCACGGATATCATAAATGGCAGGAATGTGAGGCATGCAGCTGCCTAGGGAGACTAAGTGATTATGATCATTTTTCTTCAGATCAAAGATCTAAATTGAGTGAAGGACTTGTGCTTAGAAAACAGAGGAGCCCAGTAGAAAGGACTAATCCTGGAGAAAGGGCGTCTTTTTCATCATGAAGCCAGAATGATCCATGAACCAGTCTCATTACGTAGCACCTAATAACACACAATTTTATTTTTTGTTTTCTTCAAGTTTTCAAAAAGTTATAGATTTTTGCTTCTATTGAATTAATATTCATAAATGCAGACAGATGACATAGTCAAACTGTCTCCCACAGAAGCCAGCAATAAGGCCTGGCACCATTCCTTCCTGGACATCTAATACAAATGCTATGAAGTTATACCAGAGAGACTACCGGTCACTAGCTGCTTTTTTATTTACCAGATCCTTGAATGCAGAGGGAAAAACAAGGAATTTATATCAAATTGGGAAATCTAAAAGAATCATCACATGTAAAGTGGGAATATGTAGGGAACATTCAGCAACTTGAACATGTGCAAGCCACCGGATAACAGTCCTGGCAATTTGTCCTTACTGTACCATATTTTAGCCATAAAACCATTAATAATATTGAGCCATCATGTGACAATTTAGGGTTTATGTAAATGTTCTTCTGGGCTTCAAGACAGCTCTGTATATCAGTCCAGATAGGTTCTTGTCTCCCTTTAGCACATGAAAAGCTCAAAAAAAGGAATTGGTCATGCTCACCACATGAATGGCTGATCCCTTAATCAGATGCTTTAACTTAAACACTAGAAGAAGGAACTGGGGGACAAGTCTAAAAATGAAACCAGCTATTCAGAATGGAATGCGAAAAGATTCAGAAGCTCCATGTCAGTCTTTTCTGCAGACTATACTCACAAAACAACTCTTAGCAAACCAAGGTGTGAAAAGCTTAACTCACTCATCCTTTCCCTGCAATAATGATAATCTTCATTACTCACCCAAGTATCCACCAAGCAACCACCTACAGAACACTTTATGCTTCAAGTTAACCTAAAACCCTGCCTCTTCCTCAAAGTAATAGTCATGGCACCTTTAATAGTGACGTCATCAAAAGCCAGTGTTGGTTTGAAGAAGTCACAGAGTTCACATTTTAACACGTGAAACTAAACCTCGGCAGGACAGACAACACTAAGATATTATACCACCAGAGGTGGACAGGTGAAGTGCCTGCAAACATCAGAGAACAGAAAGGTACTCTTACCATAAAAGTGCAACCTCTATTATAAAATGTGGAATCACAACAGAGCAAACAGAATAGGAGGCAAGTACTAAGCTAGGTAAACATTTTAAATCTCAAATTCTCTCTTAAATGTGAACACTGTGCTGCTTTTATCTAAACTGAATCCCAATATGTAGCCAATGCTACTTCCATAAACATCTCTTTTATCTTTGTCAAAATAGAGGGTCAATAAAAAAGAGGAAGACCCTCAACTGATGGATTGATACAGTGGCTGCAACAATGGGCTCAAGCATTGTGTGTGGATGGTGCACAACCAGGAGTGCTTTGGTCTTTTTACATAAAGCTGCAATGACTAGGAACCAACTCAATGGCATCTAACAACCATAACTACTATGGTTTTGTCAACATTTGTCAAATATTTACACAATTCACTTCTATGTTCATACAATGTATATAAATGTATACTAATGTGTGGCGCTGTGGGTTAATGCGCCAGACTGCAAAGCCGTTTGAACTGCAAGGTCGGCAGTTCAAGCTCACCAGCTGCTCCTCGGAAACCCTATACAGGATCGCTACGGGTCGGAACCGACTCGACAGCACTTAACAACATACTAATGTAAAGCCTAGAAATGAATTTCTAGTTGAGAAATGAAGTATCTCTTAAAAATAACTTAGTTTTCCAAAGAAACAAAATTTAAGACTTTGTTATTATTTAGGCAAATGTTTAATACAGTTTAAGGTAGAGCAGGGATTTCTTGTTTTGGTAAATGAAGTTTTACTGGAACATGTTTATATACTGTCTATGGTTGCTTTTAAGGAGCACTGGTAGTATAGTGGTTACAAGTCGGGTTGCTAACCTAACTGTCAGCAGTTCGAAACTACCGGTGGTTCCATGAGAGAAAGATGAGGCTTTGTGCTCCCATAAAGATTTACAGCTTCGGTAACCCTATACCAGATTACTGAGTCAGAACCAACTCCAAGGCACACAACCATCACAACCACCAGGATTGCTTTTGTTTTATAACAACTGATTGAGTAGTTATGACAAGAGGCCACATGGTCTGCAAAGTCTACCCATTTTGTTTCCTTTAGAGAAAGTTTGTCAGCTCCTGAAGTATGTGAAAAATCTTAAGACACATAATAAACACAAACCTGGTGGAGTAATAAGGGGTCTTCTATGTTCTTTACACCAACCAACGGGATGAATGTGTGGACTAGACGCTTCACACCTGTGGGTTACATAAATTTAAAAGTTCAAGTTAACAGGATAATTCACAAATAGTAATATAATAAAAAATAGGGTTAGAGACTGCAAACACTTTATAAGTACATACAATTCTTTTTGTCATAATCTTAATTTTTGAAAAATGCTAACATTGTTAAACCAAAAGATCTTCCATTTTTCCCAATATATTAATACCTAGAATATCTTCATGAGGCAAATAATCACATGGAGTTGACACCAAGCAAACAGTTTTTTTCCTCCCTCAAAGTTCTTAATATTTTGTAACATCAAATACAGCAAAATTTAAAGATAATGCAATGCTAATTCAGAATTCCCATGCATCAAAGTACATGGCAAAATAAATTTTGTGTGTACACAAACAAGCTAAAATTATTCCAGCATTTTTTCCTAAGTGCAGATGTCCAAAAGCAGGAAGCTGGATCACAATCACACACTCTCACCCATCAGAATGGAAGAAACCAAGGATTAAGAAGAAGAGGCATCCTTCCCTGCCCACTCTTCATTTTTCTCATCCCTTCAGTCAAGTAGACACTCCAGTCAAGCATTTTCCCAGGACCTCTTTAGCAGCACAAATATCTAGCACATCTGGCTTTTTACCAAAATTGTTCTTGATTTACTCACTTAAACAAGCCACATGGCTCCTTCACTTATTCATTCAATCTGCTTCTCTGAAGACTGCAGCCAAGAAAACCTTATGCAGCAGTTCTACATTGTCACATGTGGGGCCACCAACATCTGAGTCAGAATCAATTCAATGGCGAATGGCTTGCTTTTGTGATTTAGGATATAAAATAAAAAAGAGAAATGGGACAATTTCCACAAAAAAAAAGCAGGGGTTTTGTCTGTTTGGTTTTAGCAGTTTGGAAATATTTAAAAGATGCTGAGTGATGGATACATGGGAATTCTCTGTACTGTTTTGCAAATTTTAAGTTTAAGATTAGTTTAATATAGGGTTTTAAAAATGGTAAACAATCTCTCTTTTATTCAAGAAATAGATGCTGAGCAATTATAATGTGCAGGGCACGGTTCTATGAGTAAAGGATACAGTAAGTATCAAAACACATAAAAATTCTTTCTCATTTATGCGTGCTGATAGAGCTGATGACTATATCCCTCCTCCTCCCAATAAAAAAACAGGGTCAACAGATAAGATGAAGGATAGGGAAAGGAAGTCTGAGAGAGAAGAAAAGGAGGAGTGTGAGAAGTAATGACCTGGAAGAACAGATAAGAGAACTGCAGTAAGATTATGGGGCAAAACTAAGGGCCCATTTGAGGACAGCAGTCATATATGTGAAATAGACCAGTTGGCAAACTGTCCATCTGACTCTTGTTACATTCAACTAGCGTAAGGTAGGCAGGAAGTTAAAATCAACCAGGGCTGGGATTTTACCGGGCTAAAACAACATAAGAAAGAAGTTACCATAATATTGTTTTTAAGTGCCGTTGAGTTGGTTCCGACCCATAGCGACCCTGAACAGGGTTTCCGAGGCTGTAAATCTTTATGGGAGCAAAGCCTCATCTTTCTCCTGCAGAGCAGTTGGTAGTTTCGAACTGTTGACCTTGTGGTTCGCAGCCTGATTTGTAACCACTATGCTACCAGAGGCATAACTCATATATAGGTATTCAGGGATATACCACTAATTAAAATCTCAAAAAAAAAAGAAAATTAATTTAGAACACTTCTCAACCGGTGTGCCCTAGGACAATAGGTATACTTAAGTAAACAATAAAACCAGACGACAACAAAAAACTAAGGTAAAAGAAATTCAGAAAAACCCAGCATCTGACATGCCCCTTTTAGAGATTTACAGTACACATTATTAGCATAGTAAGTATTTCTTAAAGATATTTGATTATGAAACACCGTTTTGGTAAACAGTATCTTAAGAACATAGCCTGGTAAATGTCTTGCCTATTAACTAGATGTATGGTATATATCTGGTTGTTGTTGTTGTTAAGTGCTGTCAAGTCAATTCCTAATTTCTACCCATAGTGATCCTGTACAGGGTTTCCGAGGAGCAGGTGATGAGCTTGAACTACCGACCTCGCAGTTCAAATGGCTTTACAGTCTGGCGCATTAACCCACAGAGCCACACCAGGAGATCAGGAAGTCTCAATATAACCCTCCCAACAGAAAACAAGAAGGTAGAAAGTTAGAAAGGTAGCGGTGGGGTATTCTGGTAAAGAAATCTTATTGAGTAGTGAAAAACAAAGGAACTTTTAAATACATTTATTGAGTGAATGAGGCTTGCACATATACTGTGGTTCTATATTGTGGAGTAAGTTCCCATTCAGAGCAACCCTGTATAAGGTTTCTGAGACTATAAAACTTTACCAGAGCAGAAAGCCTCGTTTTTCTCCCGTAGAACTGTTGGTAGGTTTGAACTGCTGACCTTGGGGTTAGCAGCCCGACTCATAACTATTACTCTACCAGCGCTTCTCGCATATTGTCACCAATATCTAAACCAGTCTTTCCTGTTAGTAGCTCTGGAGTAACACATGCTGAGCTGGTATAACCTCAACTTAATGATGATTTTCTCATAACTAATTTCAATACAAAATGCCTTTAACTTAATATCTGAAGGTTTTGTTTGTTCTTTATAAATGTTTTATATACTGTTATCTCCTACCCACTAGCTCCCAGGCTATTTTCCCCACAATCTACATTCTGGGGATATGTGTGCACATGTCATTACTTACGAAATGTAAAAGAAAAATAAGCACTCTTAAGTTAACGCTAACTTCAAACAGCAATCAATGCATTTCCTACAATAGTTTCATGAACGATAATTCAATGTATAAAACTGTATAGACAATTTTAAGCTTTACAAATCCTTTCCTAGACAATCATTTTGGTTATGTATTATTACAAATGATGCAAACTCTTCACTTTAGTGAGAGGTGTTAGTTTACATGTGGCTTCATTGGAAAAACAGAAAAAAACTGTATTTTAATACAGTTTTATAATAAAACCATAGATTTTTACTGTTTTAAAATTATCTGCCAGACTCACAGTGGCAAGTTAAAAATAAGGACATAAGACATTATAAGCTTTTTCGATTTTATTGGAGTTTCCATAAATAGTCATTAAGGAAAATATCATGGCCACTCACCCCATACTAACTGAATCTTAAATGATGTTTTAATAATATATAAATACTGATCAAAGTTGTTATTTAATACAAACAATGAAGCCATCCCAACAGAGAAAATAAAAATAGGAGGCAATTCTTCAATAAGCAAACACTTCATTCAAAAGTTAGAAGGCTGTGAAATCCTTTCTGCTACTACTGTAAACTAAGCCATCTCTTAGTCCCATCTAGTGTCCAAAAGAAGAAATGTAACATCAAAATTACAACTTGGATTAATACCGAGGCTGCAACAACGGGTTCAAACAAAGAAAGGGTTTTGAGAATGGCACTGGACGGGGCAGTAACAACAATGGCAAAAGATTTAGGATACAGTAAGCAAACATTAAGATACTAATTTTACAGATTTTCAGAAAGGTTAAACAATTTTATCAAGCTTTTACACTGAAAAGGAAGAGATCTTGGTTTTATCAGTCACAAGCAAAAACTAATGCACAGATGTTGGGTTCTACAGTTTATGCAGAGGATCAAATAAGAACCTTTCAAGAAGCTTATATAAAGAACTGTCCCTAGGTGTTGCAAACATTAATTAATGCACACTGCTGCTAACTCAAAAGGTTGGTGGTTCAAGTCCTCCACTAGGCACCTTCAAAGAAAAGCCTAACAATGTACTTCTGACACTTGCAGGGTTGCCAGGAGTCTGAGTTGACTCAATGGCAAACGGGAGGAGGGGGGAATCGTAAGAGAAAACATCAGACACTTGGCCTTTCCCACTCCCTAAGCCCAGAGCAGAGAACTCAGCTGATTTCTCAGTACCCTATTATCCTGCTAACTTATCAGAGACTCCATGCTTATACAAAACATAAACCATGATTACACAAATGGACCTCACCAGATAGAATATACAGGGAACAAACAGGCTATGGAAGTAGACAGAGGAGAAACTCAGTATCATTAGCTAAAACAAGAACAGGAATACACCATCATTTGCTCATATGTAAGTACAAGTGGAGCTGAAGAAAATTAAAACAAGTCCATGAGAGTCAAATATGACCTTGAGTATATTCCAACTTAATTTACAGATTATCTCAAGAACAGTATTTTGCATTAGACACTAATTATCGAAGACCTGAGGAGTTGTGGGATGTTATCAAGACTATCATAGATGGAGAAAGAAAAGGATCATAAAAAGGACATGATAGAAAGAAAAGATCAAAATGGTTATCAGAAAATATGCTGAAACTTGCTCTTGAACATAGAAAAGCTAAGAAGAAATGTAGAAGTAAAAGAGATGAACAGAAAATTTCAAACGGTAGCTTGAAAAGACAACGTAAAGTATTGTAATGAAATGGGCCGAGACCTGATATCAGAAAACCAAAAGGCAAGAACATAGTTAGCATTTCTCAAGCTGGAAGAACTGAAGAAAAAATTCAAGCATTAGATTGCAATACTGAAGGAGTCTATGGGCTAAAGGAGCTCTGGTAGTGTACTGGTTACAAATTGGATGCCAACCTCAAGGTCAGCAGTTCGAAACTACCAGCTGTTCTGCGGGAGAAAGATGAGGCTTTCTGCTCCTGTAAAGATTTACAGCCTCGGAAACCTGCACAGGGTCGCTATGAGTTGGAACTGTGGCACACCACCACCGCCACCATGGGCTTAATATTGAATAATGCAGGAAGCATCAAAAGAAGATAAAAGGAATACACAGAGTCACTGTACCAAAACAAATTAGTCGATGTGCAACCATTTCAAGAGGTACCTTATGAACAAGAACTGATGGTATTTAAGAAATAAGTACAAGAGTCACTGGAGGCACTCACAAAAAATAAGGCTCCAGGAACTGACGGAATACCAATTTCAATATTTCAACAAACGGATGCAGTGCTGGAGGCTC